TCTTGTTTTGTTCATCTTTGAATCTCCAGCTCTTAGCACGACATCTGTCTTACAGTAGATACTTAGTAGCTTTGTGTTGAATGAAACTGAATAGAATATCATTAGTCAAGATGGAAGAACCTTGGAAAGGTCTTATACCTCTCTGTTAACTCTAGCATGAGTCTGATAAATTAACTATCCCTTCATTTGGAGATGGCTGTCCACTAAATATTCACACCAGGCATGCAAAACTGAAAATAGAAGGAATGGTGTTGAGCTTAGTAGCAGTAAAACTAAAAGTCTGAAACTAACTCTGAAGTTATGATGGAAGTGGGATGGAAAGAAGCAAGCAGTCAGGAACTTGTTTCTACAACTCAAATCCCAGGAGGAGGTTAATCCTGTAGTCATTTCTGCATGAATTATGGGTAAAGGTTCTCAAATTACAGTACAGGAAGGTATTATTACATGTTCTTTGGAAATGAATGTAAATGTGAAACTTTTTATTAAGCATAATTTCTTTCTTTACATATTTTTGTCCATTAATAAAGTGTTAACAGTAGAGATTATTGTGTATTTTAAGATTTAAACTGAACAATATATACAAGCAACTGACATTTCATTTGTTCCAATGATTGCTCTACACATTTCTTTAATGATTTTGAAAATGTTAGCATAATGGGAAAAATTTAGAAGTTGTTTAAAGCTTATTTGTGCTTAAATGATTTGATAGAATCATGGCCATACTTGACCTTTGGTACATTGTAAAGTAAGTCATGTTCTCATTTTTTGATATCGTGAATACTTTAAATGACATGGTCAGCAACATTAGAATTTCAACATAATTCGCTGCATCTTTTTTTGTGATTTGTCTTGGGTGCCCTTGATTGCGGGATGAATCTTTTTTGTAATCCTTCTCCTCCTGTCACATTTTTTTTTTTTAAAATTAGAGGCTTTATTTATTTATTTTTTTTTCGGTATGCGGGCCTCTCCCTGTTGTGGCCTCTCCCGTTGTGGAGCACAGGCTCCGGACGCTCAGGCTCAGCGGCCATGGCTCACGGGCCCAGCCGCTCCGCGGCATGTGGGATCTTCCCGGACCGGGGCACGAACCCGTGTCCCCTGCATCAGCAGGCGGACTCTCAACCACTGCGCCACCAGGGAAGCCCCTCCTGTCACATTTTAAATGTCACCAGGCCAGTATTTATATAATTGTATATATAGATTGTATAATTATATATATATAATTGTATATAATTTATATAATTCTCCCTTCCCACCCTTTCCATCCATTATACCTCCCTCCACATGAGAGGACATTATGCCTCCCTGGACAGTAAAACAACCTCCTTTCAGGATAATCGACTCCTTTCAGAAATTTCTGTGTTCTGTGTTTTGTGCAATATTCTCTACCCCACCATTTCTCCTCCTAGGTAAGATTTCAGATGCTATGTTTGATTTCAATGAATTTTGTTGTACTTAGCAGCAAATGCAAGACATTTGGTGACTTTTTTTTCATTAAATGAGCAAAGTGAATAATTCTGCTGTTTAGAACGAATGTGAGGGAAGTATTATTATAGGTACTGGTTTTAAAGTCAGACTTGTATGTTCCAGATATGTTTGAATGATTCAGAAAATGTGCATTTTGAACAACCTCATTTTGGGTTGGGGAGTGCTAAAAGCCTTGGAGGTCTGGACATTCATGAAATTGTCAACAAAAGAATGGGTTGGGGTGTAAGGGGAGGAGGAGACCCTTTAGACAGCATCAAATCAGTGTATTTAACTTAACTTCAGTGAATCAATACGTAGAATGTGAGAGTCGGGGAATTTACCAGAGATCCAGGAGCCACCAGCTAACTCAGTTTGCTTCCTTGTTTTGGGTGGAAGAAGAAGGAAGAAAATGATCAAGGAGTGGATTCTAAACTCAGAACAGAAGAATTTATGTTGAAAAGTAAATAGTACCGGGCAAGAAAAAGTCAGATGGCGTGTCCTCTCACAGGTTACAAAGGGCGATCATGCTGATATAGGAGGACTGGGACACAACAGCTCGTGGGGGGAAATGGCTACACCTGCGTAAGGATGTTTACGTTATCCTGCCAGTTTCTTGCTAGACAGAGTTTCACCATCCACATGCCTCTGCAGGTCACCAGTTAGAGTCCTGTGTGCGTGTCTGTCTTGGAGGATCCTGGGGCAGCCAGGCCCCCGTCTCTGTCCTGAGCCTGGGCAGCCCTTTGGGGCAGGTGGAGAGCATCGCTTGAACTCTTGGAGGGAGTTGGTGCACGTGCTTGGGAAGGTGGTCTGGACAGAAGAGAGGACTCTGAAGACGTGAGGGGGGCAGCAGGAGAGCCTAACCTCCTAGTGCGCTTGAGGAGACTGAAAATTCTGGGAAGTGCTGAGCACGGCGGGAGCTGAGTTACTGTCACTGCTAGTGAGGGTGGCAGAGTCACCTGTGGGATCCAGGTCGGGGTAAGGGGACAGTGCTGCTGGGTGAGGCAGCTGCTGGCCTAGGGACCTTTAGAGGATGCAAAAGCACATGCCACCACCCTCCTCCAGCAGCGGCCCTGCAGGGGGCGCTGCAGCCTGGGTGGGGCTCCAGCACCACCACTCCTGACAAGGAGGAGACACCTGTAAAGTCAGCACAGCCTAGAGAGACCCACCCTCCTCTACCCCTAATAGGTCACCTTCCAGGGAGGGGGGGGGTGCCCTTTATCATCTTGTTGTAAAAGGGAAAGTGGAGATGACTAATTGATATCTCTCATCAAGATAAGAAAAAGCAACTTTGCCCCAAGAACATTATGGGGATTGGAGTTTCAGAGGTTCTAGAGGGGGCTTTGAGTTAATGAGTTTTTACTAATAAACACCAGAAGAATATGGCCCGCAAAAGAGGGTTACACTCAGAAATTTAGTGGGAAACATACATTTGTTCTCTATGTCTGTGACTCTATTTCTGCTTTGCAAATAGGTTCATCTGTACCATTTTTTCTAGATTCCACATGTATGCGTTAATATGTGATGTTTTTCTCTGACTTACTTCACTCTGTATGACAGTCTCTAGGTCCATCCACGTCTCTACAAATGACCCAATTTTGTTCCTTTTTGTGGCTAATATCCCATTGTCTATATGTACCACATCTTCTTTATCCATTCATCTGTCAATGGACACTTAGGTTGCTTCCATGTCTATGTATGGACACCAAGGGGAGAAGGGGGGTGGGATGAATTGGGAAATTGGGATTGACATACATAACTATTGATACTATGTATAAAATAGATAACTAATGAGAACCTACTGTATAGCACAGGGAACTCTACTCAGTGCTCTGTTGTGACCTAAATGGGAAGGAAATCCAAATATGAGGGGATATATGCATACATATAGCTGATTCACTTCACTGTACAGCAAAAACTAACACAACATTGTAAAGCAGCTATATCCCAATTTTAAAAAATGTTTAGTGGGAAACAGAAGTTACAACACACAGTTGGATTAAACACAGTTGGTCAGAAAGTTCATATTTATGTCCAGTGCCCCATTTCTTCAATTATTTCTTCAAATAATTAATGGTCACAAATATTTTTTTAAATAAAGAGAGCTGTTTCTGGAGAGAAATGATACTTACGGGATTATAACTCTTACTCCACAGCTGAGGACAGAGACTTGCTAATTCCTCCACACACCCTGACCGGCATCTGATAGCAGTAAAGAGAAATGGTTATAGTCTTAAGGAGAAAATAAACTGACTTTAAGAACTGAATTTTGGATATATGACTTGTAACAGTGATGAAAAATACCACAGCAACCCAATAATCTGTTTTTATTTTGTCTGTGTAATTGATTAAATAACGTGAAGTCTGTTTGCTTAGTCTCTTGTCAGCAATGGCTTTCATGCAAGGTGACTATTTTTGATCAAGTTTATTCCTGAATACTACTGGGATCTACCTTGAATGCTGAGCTAAGAATTGATCTACCATCTTGAAGCATTTCCCACCTAGCTTCATTTTTTCTACTTTTAATTTCTGGGTCAGAGAACACAGAAAGAAATATCCTCTGAGAAGAGGTCCAATCATCCTCTTTAAAACAAACTGAGAATATTTATTACACAGGTTTTAAGATTAACTAACTATTCATGGCAATAGCGTGTTTATTTTTATAGCCCTTCTGAGTCTTTTACAATTGTCTCATCTCTGGACTAGTAACCCTTGAGGGCAGATGTTAGATCTACTGAAATGCAGTCAGAAGGTCAAAACAATATTCATGTAAGTTACTGGAGCTCCATTAAATCTAAATAAATATAATTTTATCACATGGACATATTTGGCTAGTTTCTTCAAGAGAGAGGTGCTGGAATTAATTTGTATTTCATTTCAAATGATTTAAAGTGGCTTCTACCAATTCGGATGACAATATCATATTTTACTTTCTAATTGAAAACAATATTTTCTTTATTCTTTTTTTCCCATGACAAGGCCTCCCATTCTACCAAAGTAATAATATTCTACCAAATGCTAAATAAGCTGACATAATTGGAATCTCCTCTAATCAGTGATTCTGGTCATTAGATGCTTCAGATACTTAATAACTGTTAAATTGATCATCCTTGCTCCTCTTCAAGTTTGGAATATTTAAGTCCTATTACTGCAGATTCAATAATTGAACTACATTAGTACTTAGCAGTGCAGGGATATTGAATTGAAATCCATGTACTGTTCAGATCACCAGGCAAGAGGACCTTTTGGCTCCTCTTCTGTCTATCAGAGAATTAAATACCAATTCATTCGAAAAACAGCAAAGACTTTTAGAAAAAAATTGAGCTTGAGTTCATGTGGGGATACCTATATTCCAGATCTCAGAGATTTAATAATTTTGGGAACCTCATAAAAGCAACCTTAAGAGTTAGGCTTAACTGACCTTTTTCATATGACAAAGTATTTTCAAATTAAACCTCCTCTTGGTGGTTAGTATTTACCTTTTTGCACAATTAAACATCCCAAAATTATTCAAATGGAGAGCAATTTTTGTGTTTGTTTTCTGGAAACAGGGCTGGCCTGGCAAAATAAGGTTTCTGAATGACCTCTGGGGAAGCTCACCTAGAAGGTATCTGTGGATACCTGTCCCCGGCAGTAAAAGGCTTTTGGATGTTGATTGTGTCACTGAATGAGTTGACCTATGACATCTCCAAATCCATGACATGAAGGGCTGAGTCACAACAGGGTTCAGGAGCACCTATGCTTTGGGGACTTTTACCAACACACATACTTGTTTCCATTTGGTGTTTACTTTATTTCAGCCTGAATAAACTTCAGTTTTGGAGCCTCGAGCTGCAAACCATGAACACCTCCAGGAGGTGCTTCTTAGAGCTGGGAGAGGTGGATTCGGGAGCAGTTTTCAAGGATAGTTTGTCACCCAACCCCATGGCTGGTTCTTAAAGCGGCTGTCCTCAGGCAGGTACTGCCAAATATATTTGATGGGTGTCATTCCCAGGTTCCTGGGACCACATAAAGCAAAACCTGGGCACCAAAATTACAGAAGAATGGGCTTAAATGGGAGACTTGCATTTTTGACATCGCTTTTCAATGAAATGCACAGCAGTAAAAGTTGCACTTTTGCTGGAAGCCAGTTAAAATGTGAAAGGTCATATTCACTCCAGAATTAAGGAAAGTTTCATGATTTGAATCATATCCCCGTCGAGCATAAAACCAGGTCAAGTTGGCTAGTTAATCATCATCAAAAGGACGATTTAAACCGAGAAAGATTTAAACTCAGTCTTTCTTGCTGGTGATGATTGTAGGTGACTGTGATTCCTTAACACAAGAGGTTTAAGGAGTAATGCTAAAAGGCTGGGTAAAAAAAAGTACTCTCTGTAAAGAAAACTTGTTTTTGTTTTCTTTCATTCTTATCGTCAGTTGTTTGGGGGACTGAGAGACCTGCGCCCTTTGATTTATTTTCTGACAGTTTTATTGAGGACATACAGGTGGTCTACACAGTTCATGCCAGTCTTGCAGATGAAGTGATTTCTCCAGTCGGCTGGGGCTGCCACCACAGGGGCAATTTGAGACATGAGAACGACATGAAGAAGTAACCTTTCTTTGCACGAAATCTGCTTATTTTACAAATACATCATAAGATGGATGGGAAGGGGGTTGGAGAAGCAGTTACCCATGGCATTGGTTTGGCAGACCAATGAGTAGGAGGTGGGAGCCTGTTTTTCAGGCTAAGTTCATGGCACCTGGATGGGGCAGAGCAGAGACTTAAACCTATGTTTGTCTCCAAAGGCTCTTAAAGTGAAGATAAAAGTTCCTCTTTCAGAGAGCTGTCCTAAGGTTTAAATGAGCCGGGATGCATGTAGAGTAGCTAAATATAGTCCTGGCCCTTAGCCAGAGCTCCCCAAAGGATCCCTCACTGTCCTTGTAATAATGGAAGCGTTCATTACACTGACCCCTTCTAGTTCCGCCTCTAGGTACGATACCAGTTACTCTTCAATAACTGCAGCTAATACTGATTGATAATGATAATAATTGTGCTACCCAGGGCCAAACTCTGGGACCACACTTTCCTCTGTCTGAGATGAAGGCCTGTTAAACAGTGATCATTTAAGGAAGTAAAATAGGGCAGGTTTGACGGCTGGTTTAAGTTACAGTCGTTTGTCATTTCCTGCTGCCCTTTGCACTCACTGTGCCTACAGGAGCCGTGTGAGAGGAGAAGGCCCCTTGAAGGAGCCTTCCTGTCCCTCCTTGTAAACACACACCAGATGTGCCTTTTGCATTGGCTGCCCGGCCAGGGTTCGCCCAGGGCAGGAAGCGGGACAGCTCTGTCCCCTTTACACCCCAGCCCCCAAGCCTGTAGATGGCTGTGCTGGAAGGACAGGGGACCCTCAACCACCCAGACCAGGGCTTGGAGTGAATGGATTCTCACCATATTTCCCGCTCTGAGAGAAATCAGCATGCGTTTGTCATCTTTTATTAATATTAGGCTAATTAACCTTACTCTGAAGGTGAATACTGCATGGCCCACTGGTTCCCAGAGCAGCAGTTTTGCAAAAGCAAAGGAATTAGAAGCAGATGAGTCCTGCATCCTGCTGTGTTCTTTGGTTTGCCTTTTTGGTGTGGACAGGTGTGTCTCAGTCACCAACCACCAGGTAACAAATCAACCTAAACCTTAGTGATGTCAAACAATGATTTATGATTTCTCTTTGATTCCGCAGCTTGATGGGGTTGTTCCTCTGCTGGTTTCACAGGGGTCACCATGTGGCTGCATCCAGCAGGGAGGGTGGCTGGGAGCCTGGCAGAGCTGAGCCTCTCTCCAGTTGGTACATTCACTCCAGACTTCACAGCAGGGAAGTCTCAGGACAACCATCTAAGGGAAGGAAAAAAACCTGCAAGTCTCTTGCACCTAGCATCATTTCCATGACATGATGTTGGTCAAAGTAAGTCACAAAGCTAGCCCTGACTCAGGGGATGGCAAACAGACCCACCTCTTGAGAGGAGCAGTGGCAAGCACAATACAAACAAGCACGAGAGGAATTGTTTCCACCATCTCTGAAACCAAGCTAACACAAATTGCAAAAATACACACGATGTGAATGTTGCATCATTTGCAAATATTTTCTCCCATTCTGTAGGTTGTCTTTTTGTTTTGTTTAAGGTTTCCTTTGCTGTGCAAAAGCTTTTAAGTTTAATTAGGTCCCATTTGTTTATTTTTGGTTTTATTTCCATTGCTCTAGGAGATGGATCCAAAAAAATATTGCTGTGATTTACGTCAGAGGTCTTTAATCCATTTTGAGTTTATTTTTGTGTATGGTGTTAGGGAGTGTTCTAATTTCATTCTTTTACATGTAGTTGTCCAGTTTACCCAGCACCACTTATTGAAGAGACTGTCTTTTCTCCACTGTGTATTCTTGCCTTCTTTGTCATAGATTAATTGACAATAGGTGTGTGGGTTTGTTTCTGGGCTTTCTATCCTGCTCCATTGATCTATATGTTTGTTTTTGTGCCAGCACCATACTGTTTTGATTACTGTATCTTTGTAGGGTAGTCTGAAGCCAGGGAGTATGATTCCTCCAGCTCTGTTCTTCTTTCTCAAGATTGTTTTGGCTATTTGGGGTCTTTTGTGTTTCCATAAAAATTTAAAAAATTTTTGTTCCAGTTTTGGGATTAATTTCAAAAATATACATAGAGCTCATACACCTTAAAAAAAAAACCCAAAAAACAACCCAATCAAATATGGGCAAAAGACCTAAATAGACATTTCTCCAAAGAAGACATACAGGTGGCCAACAGGCACATGAAAAGATGCTCAAAATCACTAATTATTAGAGAAATGCAAGTCAAAGCTACAATGAGGTATCATCTCATACCAGTCAGAATGGCCATCATTAGAATATCTACAAGTAATAAATGCTGGAGAGGGTGTGGAGAAAAGGAAACCCTCATACACTGTTGGTGGGAATGTAAATTGATACAGTCACTGTGGAGAACAGTATGGAAGTTCCTTCAAAAACTAAAAATACAGTTACAATATGATCCTGCAATCCCACTCCTGGATATATATATCAGGAGTAAACTAAAAGATACATGCACCCCAATGTTCATAGAAGCACTATTTACAATAGCCAAGGCATGGAAGCAACCTAAATGTCTGTCAACAGATGAATGGATAAAGAAGATGTGGTATATATATACAATGGAATATTACTAAGCCATAATAAAAGAAGGAAATAATGCCATTTGAAGCAACATGGATGGGCCTAGAGACTATCATTTTAAGTGAAGTAAGTCAGAAAGAGAAAGAAAAATATATTATATCACTTTATTTGTATCTAAAAAAGTGATACAAATAAACTTATTTACAAGACAGAAATAGACTCACAAATATAGAAATACAGAAAACAAACTTATGGTCACCAAAGGGGATAGTAGGGGGGGGGAGCGGTAAATTAGGAGTTTGGGAGCAGCACGTACACACTGCTATATATAAAATAGGTAAATAACAAGGACTTACTGTATAGCGTAGGGAACTATGTTCAATATCTTGTAATAATCTATAATGGAAAAGAATCTGAAAAAGAATATATATATATATATACTATAATACATATTATATATATATCTGAATCACTGTGCTGTCACCTGAAACTAACACAACATTGTAAATTAACTATACTACTATAAAAAAAAGTTAATTAAAAAAAGTCACCCCAACATTGGTGATGCAATTACTAGACTTTTCTACTTAAGGTGAGATTTATCTTGTTAAAGATGGCTCAGTACAAATACTCCATAGGGCTAACTTGGAAGCATTCTGACATAAGATATTGTATATCTAGCTTGTTCAAAGATGCAGATTTGACTTGCTGGGCTAGTCAGTAAGTAACCTCCTATATGTTTGGCACGTCCACATGGAATCATTCATTTATTAATGCCTGCATGCATTCATTCATATATATATTTGAACATGCATTCCTATGTGAAGCTCTGAACTAGGCACTGGAGGAGGGTGAGTAGCCAGATTAGTTAGACATCTTTTCTACACTTAAAGTATTACCATTGACAGTTATCTTTTTCTTCTTACCCTTGCTGATCCCAACAGGACCAACTTCTCCTCTGTGATGCTTTTTAGTTTGTAGTTTTTTAAAGTCAGCTACTTTTTTTTTCTTTAAGCAAGAGCTCTTTTTGTCCTCTCCATATAAGCCTCTATTAAGAAGTTGTAACTCTAATGGGATGTAAATGTAAAGAAAATGTCTTATGGCATACTCCACATGCAGACACCCAGAGACATCCATTTTCTTCGACAAACACTTAAAACAATATGAAAAATTGAGGGAAAGCCAAAGATTAAGCCATTAATAGCTACAAAGCTATTACAGTTTAGTAGCAGGAACATCCAATGACAAGTCACACAAATCTTGGGCACTTTGGGATTTTGCTGGTGGCAGGCACAAGTAACATTCATTTATTATTTGTACATTTATGCAGAAAATATTCATTCTGTTGTTATTGTACATTAGGCCTGTTTTAAATGAGGGATTTTGCAGTGAAAGAAGAAAAACAAAGTTCTTGTGCCCATGTAACTTAAACTTTAGTCAGGAGAAACAGACAGCAAAAATTGTGTGATTTGTCAGGTAGTGATAAACAGTATGGAAAAAAAATAAAGCAGAGGAAGATGAGGGAAAACCAGCAAAGAGTCTGAGAGGGGCTGGACGGTGGGGTAAAAGGAAAATCAGGAAGAAATGGTGACCCATTGGGTGGCAAGTATTTCAAGAACGGAATGACCGCTGTTTCAAAGGCTGCTGAAGTCTGAGGATGGGCTGTTGTGTTTGGCAACGTGTCCATTGGTGACCCTGACACGAGCTCTTTTGTGGGGTGGTGCAGAGAAAAGCCAAATTAGTTTGATTTCAAGAGAGAATGGGAGGAGAGGAAGGGGAGACAGAGAATATAAAACTCTCTTATGGACGTTTTGCTGACAGGCATAGTGAGGAACGGGATGGTAATTGGAGGAAGATGGGGCCACAGAAGGTAATTTTATACGGTAGAAAATATGGCAGCATGTTTGGTGCTATTGGAAATGATCTAGTACAGTGGGAATGTTGCTGATGTGGAAGGTAGAGGGGCGATTTCTGGAGTGGTGTCCTTGAGTAGTTGAGGAGCATGGCTTGCTATAGAACATATATAAAAATTCATGTTATTAATTTTCTAAGCATATATCCAAAGTATATCGGGTTGGCCAAAAAGTTCGTTCGAGTTTTTCCATAAGTTGGTACAGAAAAATCCGAGCGAACTTTTTGGCCAAACCAATATATGCATACATTTAAATTTTTTATTTATATACTACTTTAATAGCATGCTATATGCATTTCAAAACACATATAAAAATCTAATTAAATCTTTGGAGGAAAAAATACATAAATAGGAGGCCCGGTATTTTCCCTCCAAACCACACAGATAGTCCTACACACACGCTCGTTGAGGTGCGTGCACTGTACTTTGGGGTTCTTACCTTTAGACAAGGTCACTGTCTGACACTGACTTATCAAAAAGCAGTCGGAAGGAAAAAGCTTGGTCTTTCAGGTTTGAGAACACGAGGTTTCCTTTTCTTCTGTTTTCTGCCTCGGAAAGTGTTTCGACCTTAAGCAACACCTTACAAAGGACAAGGACTTTAAACACAGCGCTTGGGGTGATTTAGTTAAAACGTTCTTCAAATGCTCCTAGAGGTTACTTTTGTCACATGTAGTGTCACAAAATGCAAAAAAATACTCAGAAAGAGGAACAACCACATTTCAATTTTTATTTGTGGATGGTGAGTCGCTCTTTAACCATAGGTCTTTCCCATAACTTTCTCGACTCCATAACTGAAGGACAAAAAATGTGCATCTCCTCATAGGTACAAACTAAAACCTTTCGCTACAGGAAGAGTGAGAGATGTGTCTATTTTTTTTTTTTCTGTAGTTTCTGTGTGAAAAAAATGCAGTTGCCAGCTGATGGGCAAACTAAAAACGTGTCCCCAAGTTGCAAAGAGTACAGAGTGTAAATGTCAGGCACTGGAGCTTTTCCCAGAAGTCGCATCCTCAGGAAGGTATTTTTCCTAATTATGAGGCTGAAATTGTTGGCACAAGAAACACTGTTCCGTGATTGGCTAACATAATACAATAAAACAATGGTGTCAAGTTGAACCACTATGAACATCTATACAGTGGTCAAAGGAGTCCTTCCCACAGTTTCAGTGTGGTCCCAGTTGTAACCTGATGTCTCCAGGTTTGTCAGAAAAACACTCAGGTACAAGTGTCCCATTCGCAGTGTGTGGATCTCTTCCTCTAGAGACAGGATGGTCCTAAATCAGCCTTTCCATTGCAGGGGGAGCCGTCATGCTCCACATCTCCACGCGAGAGCCATCCTTTTCCTGACGGCTGGGGCTGTAGGACCCCTGAGTTGCCCTCTTGTTGGAGGCAACGACAGAGGCCACCACTGCCAGGAAGAGGATCAACAACAAGGCTAAAGTCACTGAACCGATGGCGGCGAAGACATCTGAGAGCAAGTCGTCTGCCAACTGCAAGGATAGAAATAATTGTGATGTGAGTTACAGAGCAAAGGAGAACGTCCAGGTCAAGGAACTACCCTGGAATGGAAACCAAGCAGAGCGCAGGTGCCACTCAGTGCTGGAGAAAGATCAAGGTGTGGAAGGAAAGTCAGGTGTCCTTATTCCAAGATCATGAGAATGTGACTGTCTCTAGAGTCCAAGGTCTAGAGTCAGAAAGTGAGGCAGGAGACATCTACTGTGTCTACTCTGTGTCTTAATTTCAGTGACTGAGGTCATTTGTGTGACATCAAGGCCAAAGGATGAACCCGCACGTTTATTTGTAAAATAGTTCTGCATCTATAGAGATGTATGGCTCACAGTCTTTTGACTCCCTTGCAAAAAGTTCTGATTTTGCACCGAAAAAAAATTGTTGTTTTACAGCCTTTCTTGGGAAAGGAAGAAAATTAGATTAGTTGGTTCTCATGGGAAAGATCTTGAGACATAGGCTGGGCTGCAATGAGCTGGTTTCCACAGTCATCACTTTGACTTGGATTTGATGTGACAATTGAATGGTTGTGAAAACACACGTGCAGCACGTGGAACCAAACCTGGGAACAGAAAACTGCAGGCAGAGCCCCACATGGAGTAGCTGGGTCCTGGACTCTCAGGGGTGTGCCTTGTACAGAGTGGTTTGCCTAACGTTGATTCCAATGTGTTTGCCAAGCACTTTTTGCAATGGGTAAAATGAAACTGATTTAGTTGCATAGAAATATTAAAGACAGGACACAGTTGCTGTTTGAATTTTTAACAGGTTTTCAAAGAAATATTTCTGTCAGGGTAAGTAAAAGCAGAAGTAAATTCGTTGACCTTCTCATTTAGCTTTCTCTAGGACCCCATTCCCTGTTACCTAACCAAGCTACTGTTATAAATGTAATCTTTGTTAGTTTAACATCCTAGGGAATTTTAAACACCTTTGTTTTCCTTTGTGTTTTTACTTTGCTGTTGTTGTTCACTGTGCTTTGATTTAGCCATTATATAATTAATATAATCCTTTAATACTGTATCTCTTCATAATATTGTCTTGGGTATACTCACTATGAGCCTTGTTTGAATGTGCTTCATTAGTTTCCTCATTCATTCAACAATGCTTATCGGCTATCTGCTATAAACACTGAACTGAGCTAGGAGATAAAAATAGAAGGTAAGTCAAAGTCTGAAATCTGGAGCTCAGACACGCGCACACATATACACAGATAATCATACATTATAAACACGTTATGATAATGTCATAAATGAACAGCATAGGGGTGTAGGTAGACTAATATTGGAATGTGGCATGTGATTACCTTTTGAAGGATAAATGAACATTCAAATAGTTCGAACGGGAAATTCTACTTGGATGAAACAATTTGAAATCAAAAGAGCAAGAGTATATAAAAGTCCTTAGAGTTTGGGGAAACAGTAGGAAATCAGGCGTGACGAAATGTATTGTCCATAAATGTGTACGTTTGAGTGGGAAAAGGATTTAAAAAGTTGGTGAGAGACAGAACTGTAAGGTAGATGAGTCTGGACAAGAAATTTGAAGGCCACACTAAAATTCGGACTTGGTCCTGAGGTCAGTGGGAGCCAGTGAAGGTGTTTGAGAGCATGATATGATCAAGTCTGTGTTTCATTAAAACTTGGCTCTGGTAACAGGGTGGAGGGTGGGTGGAAGTGAAGGTGGGGCTGGAGGTGGAGGAAATAGGAGTTTATTGTATTAGTCGTGGTTAGATGACCTCGGTCTAAGTTTGCCAGTGGAGTGAGACTCGAAGAGGAAAAGGTGGAGAGAGACTTGGGAGGCGGAGCCAGTCCACGGCAGACGGTGCGAGCGAGGCTGGGGGGAGCGGAGGGAAGACAAGAATGGTCACCACAGGAGGTGACCCTGTTGGCTGGGGTCTCATTAGCTGGGATAAGATACACAGGAGCAGAAACAGGCGTGCATGGGAAGACTTTTAGGCTGGGAAAAGCTAGCGTCAGGTTCCTGAGCAACATTCAGGTGTGCGCTGCTACTCTCCACATTATTGTCTAAAATTCTGGGTCACAGCAACTTTTCCAGTTATTGGAGAAAAAGCATATAGAGTTTCATAGAATTCAGTCGTTCTTGAGAAAAATTGTTTACCTCAACTAGAGGGCAGGTTCTCCGGCCACACTGTGTGGCAATGACATCCTTTATCTGTAGAGATAACTGTGGGCTGGGACAGATGAATACAGCCATAGACCTGGCCTTGAAAGCTCAAGAGCCTGGGTCTCAGCAGGACAGATGGACCCCTTGGTGTCATCTGGGGACCTCTAGAGTGTGTAATCCTCTTGTTCCTAGATGCTGAATTCTCCTTAATCTGTCCAGTAAACTGTGTCATCTTTGGGAGTCAATGGCTGTTCTGCTGGGTGGGTGAGTTGGGAGGGTCCACACCCACACAGAGAGGAGACGATCACTTGGTTTGCCTCTGTTTTCTAAACTTCTCCGGCGTCTTCTCATTTGGGCTGAGAAAGATTGCTCGGGTAGAGCTAATGCCACCCAGACCCTCGCACCTGCCACCCTGCAGCTGGAGAGGGAGGGGACGTGGCAGGTGTAGGCGCTGAGTTCTTGTTGGGACCCCAGTTCTGGCAAAACCAGAGGACTGTTCCGCTTCACTTATCTTGGGACCTGCGGGGAACCAAGGCTCTTGTCTGTAGAGGCTCCACTGCTCTCAGCAATGTGGAGAGAATGGAAGGGCCAGCTCCAGACCCGAGAGAAACCCCCTGCCTCTACTGGCTGTGTGCTGAGCGGCGGGCCTCAGCCAGTCCCTGCAAGACCCTGGGTTTGATCACCTGTAACACCAGATCCTAGCATCTACTCCCAGGGATGGGAGTCAGGAGACACAACACATGCAAAAGCCAAAGAGAATGTCCCAGAGTAAGTTCCCAGCACAGGAGAATGTGAGCAACCGTGAAGATGTGATGTATCGCCTTGCTGACTTCATTCAATTCTGAAAGATGAAGTAGAACTCCCTCAGTGCCTCGGGATACAACCCGGGAGCCAACCTACAAACCTAACATGGCAATTCCGAGCTTCAGATAAAGTTTTGGATGAAATGGCTGGCCTAGCGATATCAGATAGGGCGTGTCACTCGGCTTTGGTGGGGAGCTGAGGGAGTCAGTTTGAAATCGCCTCTGAAGGGCCCTTTGCTTTTGAATTCCCCTGGCTGAAAGGCCTTTTTTGCTCCGCTATTCTTCAACTGGGCTTAAAATACACAGCCCTGGAATGGATCCTTTGATAGCTGAAACTGCTGGGACACAGGAACTGACAAGGCCGCCAGGTGTGGACCGTCCTAAAAAACAGCGTGAGTTTAAGGCCAGGCCTGTTTGGATGGGTTGTGCTGCTAATGCTGCACTTTTGAATAACCTTTTTCAGAAAAGATAGACCCCAAATTAATTAAAATTTCATGTAAAATTACTTTTCAGATGGCTTATGCTGCAATCTGTATTGTTAACATCCCGTTTAAATGTACATTTTATACATGATCACATTAAACTGTGGTGACTTGGAACTCCCCATCTGCAGAATGAAATAAATAGGTGCTTCATTTTTTTTCCTCCATGGAAGATTCATTCTGAAACGCTGACTGGTTGTGGCCAAATGTGCCCCAAGGCAAGGATGCACACTGGCATTCCCAGGGGAAACTGCCAAAACTTATTTTGAACCTTCTCACCTGAGCCTAGGCTAGAACACGCTGGAAATACACATTAGCTTTTTTCCCTTAAACTCCAGAAGAGGAATTCTATGCTGTGATTCCTCTGAGGGGAGACTGGAAACAGAATGCACTTGCAAAACAGACGGACATGGGTTTGAATCCAGTTTTGCCACTGGTGTCCTACACTTATCTCTGCTGTTTGTCCACCTGTAAAGCGGGAGTGACAGTTCCTGCGTCCTAGGCTTGCTCTGAGACGTGGAGTATCCAGGTGTGTGGAGCTTCTCTGAGGGGCAGGCTCAGAAGGGAAGTCAGTCCTCGTGGCCACTCCTGTTTAGCACTCTTCAGAGGGATGACCCTTCCCCAGCTGATTTCCCCGGTCCTGCTTGGGCATCAGAACACCCACCAGATGCCACCCACTCTGGCAACAAGTCGGGACTCAGAACCCAGCCTGGGAGCCGAGAAGGGCAGCCGCTGACCTGGAGCTGGCAGGGGCCTGGGCCATCTGGCCGTCAGGGCCCACAGCCCCTCACTAGCTGACTGCTGGTCAGTTCATCTGATTTTGAAAACACAGAACGAGCTGGCTTGTCTGGAAAGGAAAAGTAATGAGACTGTCTCTGCCCTCAGCACCAGGACCTGCCTGTCATAATATTTAGGGCCAATTTGGAAAAACGTGAAAATAATAAACACATTGGAAGGAGCCTGGAAAAACAGGATATCTTAGGAAACTTGACCTCCTATTTCCAGGTGAAAGGAGGTGAAGACGTTAAAGCTTTGACTTGAGGTGAGGAAATTCTAGGACTGAGGCCATGGTTTCCCCCTTAGGGGCATATTTTTCTCACGTCGGATTTTGTAAAATCAGCAGAAGTACGTTTGTAGTTGAAAAAAGCAGAAATGTTGGGAGTTAAAAACTGGCTCCTGAAAAACACTAGGGTGGAGTGAATTCCCCAAATCCTTCTTAGAATTCAGTTTATATGTCCGTTGTATGGAAATATGTGGAGACAGTTGAAGACAGGAAGTTAGAATGTTTGGATGTGCTAGTTGATTACAGGTTATATTCCAGCTTCAATATGTGAGTTTCTGAAATGTGTGTGTGTGTGTGTGTGTGTGTGTGTGTGTGTAGTGTTACACAAGTACATAATAGTACGTTATGTACTATTATGAGCGTCAGTGATTAATGGGAAAAATACTTTAAAGATGTTGTGTTTTTACAAAGCTGGTTATAATATTTACCTTCCATCTGTGTATCTAAAGTGAAATGAGGACATCTCTTTGACTCTCATCCTTCAAATTAAAAATAAAGAAGAGATAGATGAGAGAGAG